ACACCTCATCAAAGGGGGTCTGGGAGGTGTCTGTGTGGGAGTCTCCTAACTCATAAGAAAGTTCGGGGGACTTTCCTAGCTTAAGACGGGGGTCTGGAGTGCCTCCCCCGGAAAAGTTTGAAAAGTTGAGTCGTCTCAGGACTTAGGAGTATTCTTGAGCTGTTTTCACCGAAAAAGTGATCCAATTACAATTTTCAAAATCGAAGGTATATTCACGCTCTTTGCGTAGCAAAATCCCTAAAATTTCTAGGAAGTGGCCTATCAGGTCTGGATGGGGGGGGGGGCACCTCTGTTTCCACTCATGTTGAAGAATGACTTGGGTACTCGTCCTTTTCATGCCATTTTTTTTAAATTATCGGCTGAAATGCTCTGCGAATTTCGTATGAAAATATCCCATGAAGTACGCCCCCAAATAAAGAAAAACGTGTGGGAAGTTTGAAACACCGTAGTTTCACCTTTAATATCTTCTCCTTCCTTCCAAAAATTTATGGTTGAAAATATTTATTGTGGGAAAGAGTTAACCAGAATTTAGTTTTTCCCTTGCGCTTCGTAGAGGAATGACACCGAATTCATTTCTCTCCATTCCAAGTCCATGTTACATAGTCTCCTTTTGCTAATATATGCCCAATTTTTTAGAAATCTTCTACTTATTCAACCTACATACACCGAGTTGCCGAAAAAACTTTAAATCGCGGCATCAGTGACGTTCCTTCCTTGCGTAAAGGCAGTGTTTTTCTTGCGGATAGTATGCAGGTAACGCTTTATGCAAAATACTGCCAGTGACCATCAATCTTACTGTCTAACACTTTCGATAATTTTTTTGTTTCAGTGATTTAATCGATCATTTAAAGAGTTTTGAACCAAAAAGGGAACGAGGAAAACTAGAAAAAATTTATGCTTGTATAGAGAGGTTAAAAAGAGAAGATCTATCCCGGCATCTGGAAGAATACGACACCAATGGGATGACTTTGCTCTATTATGCCGCCCTGGAATGTCATAAGTTTCCTGTGATTCCTCGATACATAGCAGACAGCATCGTTGATGTGAACAGAAACCCAGATCAGGTAATTTTATTAAATTTCCGTCTACATTCTCAAGCATGCAAGCGTTTTCATTCCAATGCATAATGAAGCTAGAAAATAATGTCTCATAGTTGCATTGTCCAATTATTTTTGCTTGGATTTAATGTAATGTAATAAACTTCAATGTGCCTCATGTTGAATCCTTACATCGTGGACTAGCAAATCAGACCAAAACTACCCTCAGTACAATTCAAAAAGAAATAAACTGTGAAATTTAAACCCCCTTACACCTCCAACTTTCTCTTCATTCTTTAAAATTATCGTGAATATTTTCTGTTTCAGAGTTTTGCTCCTGATAATAACTCTCTTTTACACATTCTTGCTGGCCTGGGAGGATCATATTTAAACGTTTTGGCAGAGCTGCTCAATGTACGGAACTCTTCACATGTTCCTATTTTTAATCTTAATAAACAGAACTCCAATGGACACACACCACTTCATTCGGCAGTTCTTGCGCATCATCCACCGCTATTGAACAGCGTAACAGTTGTGAAAATACTTGTAAAGTACGGTGCAAATCTTGACGCTCAGGTGAGTAATATTGCTAACACCTTTACATTCCTTCAATTTCCCTATTTTTTTTTATTTTAATAATATGAAAGGTAAGGATGGTCGCCGAATATAGGAAATTTTAGAATTTAAAGGGCTAATATATAAAAAAATTGCATCTCGGACTGAAAAGGGACCTCGTAAAATTATTCTTTTTTAAACACTCAAGCTTAGCCTATTTTAACAATATAAATTGAAAAATGAGAGTAAACTTTATCAAAGCTTAGGTATTGTTAGGTATATCAATGAAAAATATGTGTCCAAAAAATTTTAGAAAATATCTTGAGAAAAAATTTAACCGGAATACCTAACAAACCTTCTGTGGCAGAATTTTTAAAAGTTCAACAAACAGAAAAAATTGTTTCACTGCAGATACTCTGCGCAATTTATCAAAGAGAAAAAAAAATGTGTGTAAGTTTCAAGTGGTATCTAAGTTTGTCAAGTTCAGAAAAACTAGTCTAGAAATATACTTCAAACAAAGTTAGGAAAAATGATTATTGACACCATAGGATAAATGAGTTCAACTGAGGAAAAGATGAAATACAAAATACTAGAGACGTTTTATCAGCTTATGACAATACAAGGAAATGTCACAAAACTCCTCTGACTTGTACAATTTTTTTTTTTACTGAATCTAAGAATTGTATTGTATCTTGTATATATTTTTTGTGTATTTATCTACTTTTAAAACATGTGACCTGCAGCTCATCTAGTAGTTCTATAAGAAAAAGATGTCTCTGCACTGCTTGCAAACAAAGATATTTAAAAACTAAACCAAACTTGAATTTTTTTACAGGATCATAATGGACAGAGACCTCTTCATCTAGCAATACTGAGTTCCTGTGACCCAGTCCTTATAAAAATTTTGCTCCAAAAAGGCTCTGCAGACACTGTGGCAAGTTTGAATTCTGTTGATCTGAATGGTGACACTCCCCTCCATCTGGCAGCGGGCAAAAATGATCTCCCTCTTTCAGTTCAAAAGGAAGTTATTAAACAGCTGACGGATAAAGGAGCAGTCTCAAAATCAAACCAACAGGGTCACTTACCTGTTCATTTCCTAGCCTTTGATCGAAAGCAGGTTGGTTTATTTTAATTTTACTCAAAAAATCACAGAATGAATAGAAGCTTCATCATAAGAGTAAAAGCTTTCTGAAAATATTTGGCCCTAAGATGAAAAGCCATTTACACTGCAATTTTCCTTCTTCCTCAGAAGTTTCCATATGTTTCGATTAAAACAAACTTTGCCCAGTGTGAGTTTGTGGATAAAAGAAAAGTTGCATGTATCAGGGGAAAAATTATGCATTTTGAGCAGAAAAATACAGAAAAACAAGACCGAAGGGGAATTTTCAATTTTAGAATGCCAGGAGGGTTTTGAATACAGTTACTTGGCAATAAAATTAAGTTTCTTTTGCCATAGAGCTCGCAGTCATCCTACTTAATTAGTTTTGTTAATCAAGATGCCTTTTATGCATGCATTTGTATCAACTTTGCACTGGTGTGAAAATTCAGATGAAGATAATAAAAACACCTCAAACCTAAAGGATTGATGGTTTCATCTTTGAGCAAAGATTTCAATGTGAAAGGGTAAAAATGTTCCAGTCGTAACGTAAATGTTAAATGTTTTAGTTTGATTCTCTCATCACAGAGGGTGCTAGTTGCTCCTTTTCTGTGGGCATGTCAGAAATCTTAACCGTAAGACCTGAAACCTAGTCTAAAATTTTAGAATTTTTGCTCTGAAACTTCAGGACCTCATATCGTTCTCAATTTTTGAGATTTCAGGGTCAAACTGGCGCCAAAATTGCCAGATTGTCTTTTATTACACAATTGTGCCAATAACTCAAATTTCCTTCTCACAGATCCAGGCACGTATCAGCAAAAACTTTCATTATACTCATGCATCTTTTTTTTTTTGCAGGAACTTCAAGCTCTTCTGCAGCGGAAAAAGTGATCACTGATTCATGAATAATTTTGGACGAATTATCCCTGAAATAAATATGATCTCGTAGAATGAAAAAATAGTCAAGATTTTGTTGTTGTGTTATTTACTTTATGTTCTTGTGCAATTTACCTAATGTTGTTAAGTTTATTAAATTAGGTGTCACATTTCTTTTCTTACACATACATTGATAAGTTATCTAGACAAATTAAAAAAGAGCTGATATGCAGTCTCATACAGTCTTGTCGAAAGAATTGAAGCCTTTTTTGGCATAAAAATGAGTTCTCTCCTCCACAACGTGCTTATTCTACACTAAATCCTCCGGAGAAGCAGCTGTTCAATATTCACTTTTTTCCTCGATGAATTTTTTGAAAAACTGTAATCACTCCTTCAAGCAACTTATCTTGTACAAGAAAATTGCTGCAATGTTAGTTTGGTATACTTACTCTGTCTACTATTTTCTTATGATGAAGTCTGCATTATGTTAAATGTGTATCTTGTTTACTTTATCATCCATCACTTTCAAAAGTTTGAAACTTGTTACACAATGACTCTAGGCAATATTTCAGTATCGCATCAGGTTTTTCTTAAGTATCAGTGCTGCAAAGGCACTATTACAGTCAGATAAGTAGTTCTATGAGAGAATCTTTCAGTCTCAACACATACGTTTGAAGGACCACACCAACTCTGACTTTCTCTGTAATCCTGTGTATCCATTCCTTTTCCTTCTTTACTTCTAAGATTACCGAATTTTTTCCAGTTTCGCCTTGAATTCCTTCAAATCATGGTTAGCATTTTAAACTTCCGCCACCACTGATTTTATGAGAAGCAAGAAAAGAAAAACAACTAAGATTTAATTTTTCAAATTGGTAATCTTACTTCTTTAGTTTCAAGTTTGTATGAGCCTGAAACTAAAGCAAAATTTCACTCTTATAGTTATTTCCTAATTTCTCTTTGCATGATGCAGAAGTACCTGAAGAAATGATAAATTTATTTTTTGTAAGTGCTCTTTTATGGCGTAGAAGCGAGTACCTAATGATTTTTATTCTAATTTATTTGAGATCAGATTAACATTTTTTTCTTCAATTATTTTTTGAATCCCGTAATTTTCATTGTTTGTTGGGCGTCAGAAAAATAAAAGATTGCACACATTTTTCAATAGGACGTATTTAAATCTAAAGAAACTATGTCCATTGCGACATGAGCCTTGTCATGCATCCATTCTCATGGATCTCAGAGCTTATATCGGAGTGGATATAGTTTCTTCTGCTTTAAGAACGTCCAATTGTGGTTCTCACTGCTGCAGAATTAAAAAATCATGTGAGCTCCAAATAACTTTAAAGCAGTGTGCCTTTTTTCAACATTTTTTCCTGCTCAGCGTTCCATTTTTCTATTTGTATTTTTAATAATGAGAATTCCTCTGGGTTTTTTCCTTTTTTGCAAGTTCCTCCTTTGAAGGGCATATTTCAAACTTCAACACTCATTGAATGTCAAATGATTTTTTTGAGAATTGGTAAACATTTACATTTATGCCTCTCTTAAGAGATCATGTACAGCTATAACAGTCTTTAAGGCTGCATGAGCCGTTTTAAAATAAAAAGACATAATATGCAAACAAAATGAAATCAAATGAAAATATTAACAGTCATCTTGGTAATCTAAAATTCATAAAGTTAAAAGAGACTTTTTATGAAACAGACAATTCATTGACAAATTATTGAATATCAGCTTTGTTTAGGCATGGAAACCTTGAATTGAGAGGTACTTACATGAAGTTATTTTCCATGGTACAAAGCCACAGTCTTGCCCACAATTTTTAATTAAGTTATGGTTTTTCCCTGATTTTTATGTACTGTTAATTAAAATTTTGCTGACCGATTGAAAAAATTTGGGTTGCCTCAGATTTCCTGATTTAAAAATTTTAGGAAGACTGAGGAAAAATTTAAAAGTTGGTGTAGAACTTGTTATAAGAATGTAGGAGCAATGCTCTCAAGAGTTGAGCACATCTTTGACACGACGAGGGCTAAAGAACAATACCGCTTAACTGACAGTTTTGGCGAAAATAAGTTAGGGACTTTCCCACATGCTTCAGTATAAAATACGCAAACAATGGGAATCCAATTCCGCTTGAGAGCGCTGCAATCATGTAGTAATGTATAAAAAAAAATTGCAAATCTAACCTTAAAATCACAATAGTGTCGAATTCTTTTCTTTGCCCTACAAACGTCAGTTTGCAAATAGGCGGTACTGTTCCTTAGCCATCGCACCAATTTTTGACAAAATTTTTAAGAGTGACTTACTGGAAGAGGCCTCCAAGCAGTAGAATTTTGACGAACATCAACAAAACTCTTTTAAGCAAGACTCACGGTTTTACTATTTTTGGGCTCTCCTCACATTTATCATGTAAGATGGAAATTGATGGATTAGGTACTTATTCAGCATCTAACTTTAAAACTTTGAAAAAGTAATTTTCAAGGATTTAAGATTCTTCATCGTTTTAAGAAACAAATGAAAACAACTATTGGTAACTCTTTCATTTTGAAATGATGCGTACTCTCCATCCCCCAACATATGTAAGCTAAAAGCAGATATGCCCTGTTCGCTTTCTTTGTGCTAAAACTGAATGTGTATTATGCATGATTAAAATTGTTTTGTAATTTTTCTTTTTTCATTTATTCGTTTTAATTTTGATGTTTTACTTTTAGGAGATTGTTTTGTTACGTAGAGATGGGTTGTATTTTCTAAGTTCGTCTGGAGGGAATGAACTTCTGCCGGATAAATTTCCTTGAAACCGAAGAATGTTTGATCATTTGTTCCTACGTTCCTCCCTCTCCCCCCTCTTTCCCTTTCCCCCCCAAATATTGATCTTCAATAAAAATAGTTCATAAAGAGAAGAAAATGAGCTGTCATTTATTCTTCACAAAACGAAAAGAATTTTAACAGTATCAGTAGTTAGGTGCGTCATTCCTCACCACAAAATAAACTATAAAAATTCCTCATTTGATAGAGAGTCAAAGTTATAGCGGACGCTATAAGTAAGTATGAACAGAAAAAATTGAAGACTAGAATTTAAAAGAATGTAAAATTTTTTAATTGAGATTAAATAATCTTTGTAAAAACAATAAAAGAATCAAGAGCACAGTCAAAGAAGGTATCAGATTCTCGTGTACCGGTGAAAAGATTACATCGGACTCAAGAGAGCGTTCCCATTCTGCTTCAGGTTTGAACTCAAGTGAGGGGTAGTAACTAAGATTTTAGATTTCTTAAAAGTGGGGCAAAGACATGACAGAGAGTTTTATAAATAATGAGCAATGATCAAAATAAGAATATTACAACACAATTAAGTGTGTCCAGCTACTTAACATAATTGAGCCTCATAACTGAGTTGTATAAACACTCTCACTTAGGATCGAAGTTTCAATGAATTTATAAGGCAAGAGTTAACGTTGAAGAAAGAGTTTGACAAATTCCTCTAACTCCTTACGCTTCCTCCAAGACATTCAAGAAACCAACAATCTAGATCAAATCGAAGTCCCATCCCTAACCGTAGGCAATTATAAATGTTTCATTATTTGCATTGTTGTAAATTTATTTAATTTTGTACATTTTAATTAAATGAGCTGTTACAGTGTGTACTAAAAGTTTTTTATTTCAACACCTAACTTTTCAAACGAGATGGATCTCCAGGAATTTTACTCAGAAACCAGAGTTGTAAAGCAAAAGTTTTCATTTCAAAATTTCACAGGAACTGGAAAGACAATAAACCCGTGTAAAAGGTGCTGCTTTGAAACATGATTGAAATAAATGTTTAATGGTAAAGAACAGTTCCTAATTTACTCTGCCATTAATCATCACACATGTATGAACGTTTTGCCTTTAATTTTCTAAGCTTTTCGTTTTTACCTACTGAATTATTGGAAGTTCTTAAGACCAATTTTATAACATTTTGACCAGTCAGCTACTGTTTTTAACTCTTAATTTCAACCATACTTTACGAATCTCCTTCATTTACTTGAGGTCTGATATCAAGAAATCCAGGCTGCATACGAATGACTTGAACATTAACGAGAACTCGAAAAATTGAAATTAATTTCTCTTTCATTCTAACTAAGCATTTGACTCTCGATTTGAATAACACTGCCAACAAATTTGCAGAGGTTTTCTGGTTATTAATTTTACTGTAACAATGATTCAAAATCTTCTTGAGTTTCACGTTAGCTTTAACATTTTCATCGAGTTTTGAAGGAATCAATTTCATGAGCAGACTTTGGACAGAATACATACCAAGAAATTCGGCGCCAGCTAAATTTAGATATTATTTGATATGATATTCCTTACGGTCTCCTGAATAGAGTGAGCTTTTGAATCAAACTTTCTATGTGCCAACCTTGGGGAGACATGGGACTAAAAATGAATTTTTTGGCCTTCTTATCGCCTTTAATAGTACAGCATGTTAAAAGTTGGAAGATTTTTACAATATTTACAAGTATTTGTGACTTCACCATTTTGAGGTTTCACATACCATACATATGCTTCAACCTCATTTGACTAGATAAATGATAAAATAAAAATAATTTATTGATTAGAATACCTAACTAGCTTTACATCTTTTGCACCTTAAGGTGTATTATATCAGTGCCCCAGAACTGTGGTTTTTAAGTTGGAGAGTACACTGGCCTCTTTCAAGGGTCAATCAAAAGTCTTTCTAAAGTCGTCCAAAAATTTTGAACAGAGACACTGTGGTGCAGGGATTTTGATAGAAAAATTGCAATTCTCGACTCCTGAAAGAGTCGACCCTTAAAGTACTGCTTACCTACAGAATTCCTTGAAAGTTTTAAAAAGACAAGCATCAAATTTGCGGATGATACAGAACAGACACACAGTGGGTTATGACATTCATGAACCTCTCCCAGACAGTTTTCACTGAAGCTTCCCTGGAATCACAAGGAAGAGCACATCATTACCTGGTCAACACTAAGTTTTATTCGGGAGATAATTGATCAAAACTGTGTTTCATTCGATTTCTCACTCGAAACAGAAAAAACTAGAATAGAAACCAACGAACGCAAGTGATGGCAGAAAAAGCATTTCTATTTTACTCAGAGGGTTATGCAGCATTTCAGGTACAATGTACAGACTGACATTATGTTGCAGATGCTCATGACTGCTACCGTGGTCACCATTTTAAAGGCAGAAGAGAAATCGATGAGAGCGTGTCTGGAAATGGCGTTTGAACGTGGTTCCCTATTTCAAGGAAAATGTGTATGAAATTTTGGTTTTAATCCCGCAGCCTCCTACATTGGTGATGAGGCAAACTGGGACCGCTTAGGATCAATAATTTCACAGCCATCTCATGTTTTTTTAAGGCAAAGTACTGCTTTGCTTTCAAGAACTCTGGTTGAGGAAAGTTCGAAGTGGGCAGAGAAATTAGGCTTGTCAGCAGAATGCCACAGTTCTGGCCACTTTAGCTGGTGCTGGTAGTCTTAACGTAAATTTGATATAAGGGGTATAAACTTTTTCGAAGCTATTTTCCGCACAATTATCTGAGTAACGCCTTTAAGATCAATGAAAAAAATTTCTGTTTCAAAAATAATATTGATGGTGCAAAATTCGATTTTTTGCTGCTTGGAGTTGGATTTTGGGCCCTTTGTGGAGCCCAGCGCGAGTACACTAGGTAAGGGAGAAGTACAGATATTAAATCCTGGCTTGTTCTTCTGTTGCCTCCATTTTTAGTTACTTAAATAATTTTCAAGTTTTGAAGGAAAAACTGCTTTAGATACAACGCACACCCATGAAAATCTTAATAGCTGGTAGAGGGGAGTTATTGCCATTTGAGCAGTAGGGGTTAAATTGAACAAAACCCTTTGTAGACATGTAGCAAACTTTTTAAAAGAGTAGCTTTGCAAATTATTGCATCGATGCAATCAAATATTTTACTTACCTAAATGCATCTACCTGCAACGCACAGATGGTGAATGCTGACAAAAAGCTTTTCAGATCAACTAACGACCAGTTAACCGTCTTGACAGGATCGATCACATTTTCAAAAATTAATAAAAAGAATGACCTGCACAAACAAAAAAGAAATGAGAGGTAACAAATGGGAAAAAACAAAAAAAAGTAATGGACTAATTACTTATGAACGGTCACCATAATTTGAGCATAATCATGAGACTATTCAGACTGAGGGTGAGGTGTGGAAAGATAGGGTTAGGGTTGGCCCTTAGGGGCAAATTAAAATTGAATTGAAGCCTCAGGTGCGAAAGATTAGGTAGTTCTAGGTATAGGTAGGTATTTCTACAATTTGGAAAAAAAGAAAAGTTTCAACATTACGTACAGCTTTATGGTTTATGTCAAGGTTAAACTGTTGTGACAGAGCTAAAAACTGAGTTTCTGAATTTAAAAATTTTTTTCGCACGGACTTATGATTAAAATCACCCATACCTCAACTTTTTAAGAAGATCATTTACCTCCTTGATTCTCCGGAGGGTTCAGATACCCCTTGCCAAAATCTTTTTGTAAAACTTCAGATGAATTCTGTAAAATTAGGAATCAACAGGATGCCGAATAACATCACTTACCTTAAATCTCTGGTTCGATTTAAATGCAAAGCAATACTGGTTAAACCTCGGGCGTAAACACGAAAATTTGACTCAATTTCAGAAAAATTCTTTTCAAGAAGAGATGGACGCAGCTGCTGACATACAAGACTAAAATAAAAGAAGAAATCGCGGTAAATTAAACAAATCTTCAATTAGTTAAAAGTTCATACTTTATATTCTGGCATATGAGTTGGTTGGATTTTACCAAAATCATCTTCACTACATTTCACATTATTCGAGAGGCAATGTTTATACACTTTTCCTGTAAAAAAAATACTACACAGGCATTTACATATATTTGGTATATTTTACTACTTTTTTCCAAAGTTTTTTTACGATATTTTGTTTTGTAAACCAGCTTTACTCAAAATTACAACAACTTCTCAAACTTTTTTATTTAGTAGGGGCTCAATAACTTATAAAACCAACAGATGAGCTAAATTTAAGATACTGGAGACCAAAACTCAAGACTTAACTGTTTATGTTCCTTGTCTTTATCCTGGATAATTTTGATGTCTTTGAGGTCATCTAAAAATTCTCTATCCAGCAAAGTGTCATCGTAGTATTCTGTATTTGGTTCAGAGTACGTCCAATATTTCATTATCACAGTGACACAGTTTTCAAGTTCCGCAAAGCTGACATGCTGTAACTTTCTTTTACCCAATTCAAATTTCATTCGCCCGAGGAAGACAATCGTTCCATATGTTCTGGGAAACAAATCAAAAATACACTAATTATCAGTCATAAATAAATGTATATATGAGGCCTATCTGTAACAGTGGTGGATTTTGGTCATTTTTAAGGATAACACTTTTTCTTGATTCTCAAATCTTTCAGAATGCTTGTACAAAGTTTCAAACTTACAGCGCAATTTTTCAGTGAGATGTGAATTGATAACCAAAGTATGTCAAATAATATTCAAAAGCAGCAAATACACGAATTAAATACAAGCTCTTGTAATTTACATTCATTCATTCATTCCTGGTTCTCCTCGCCATCACTGAAATCAGCCGCTGAGCAATAACCACTTCCCGAATTTTTTATGTTGTTTTCCACACAATATGACCTCTGATTGATAAAGATAATATCCTCTCATGCAGCTTGAAAATTAAATAGCAATACAGGTACATTTATTTTAGATAAGAGTGAAGTCAGAAGCATAAAGATTGTTGATTCTCTTTGAAATTCTTCAGATGAAAGGTTTTACGGCACATTAAGACTGACAAAACTTACGTTCCGGTGTTCTTATCTTGTAAATAGAGAAGATGATTTGGGAGTCAGTTAAAGATTAATTACCTTCCAAGATCTTCAGGGAGTAAGAATAAAGAGCAAATATTTTTTGTAATCGATCCACGCAAGTCCTCATTGATCTTGTAGATTCTTTTTATGTTTTCAAACTGTCGTCTGCAAAGAGAGATTAAATAAATTAAATATTCAACTTTTATTTCTACAAAACCATCACTGTCAGTAAAATTAACAATTTCTAATTGTACTATGCTTATCTTCAGACATCTTTATCACAGAAAAGCAGGGGTGAAAAAACTCCAAAACGTTAACTGTTTCCTCCCATTTCGCAAAGGCCCTCCGGCCAAAGGGGGCGCTCCAAATCAAAGATGGCGGCCAAATGTGAAAGGCAGGAGATTGCATTTTTTTAAATATTCACCGAAGGAACAAGGAAAGTGAAGTGTCTTTATTTTCATGTATTTATGGCCAAGAAACTTAAATTTGATGTTATAAATGTATTTAATAAAGGAAATTAAAGGAAACATACGACTACCGAGAGAAACGTAAGCTCAGAAGAGGCCTTGCGGAATTCATTTATGAAATCTACGACCAAAATTACATAGGAAATGATACCTAACATGATGAGACAGGATGAGCATTTTAAAATACTGATTTCCCGGACCCTCTTATTACGGCCGCCATTTTCAATTTTAACTTTTTTGAGGGATATTCCGGGGTCGGGCCATTTTTAACTTTTAGGAAGTTGTTCAGGGGGACCTACCGATGACGATTACATAGGGAAAGTTTGTTACGCAATTTTTCCCGGTCAAACCGCACTTTCCCCCTACTATTATAGCACGATCCTGCTTCTCGAGTCGTACACTTTTTGGAGGATTGTGCAAAATAGTTGGAACTTTTTTTGAAACTGAGGAAGTTCTGATGACATTTGCACCCTCAACACTTGCCTACAGTTCATTTATACCCTCTTTCGACTTATTTTCGTGAAAAATGAGTCTTTTAAACCTCTACTTAGTAAGACCTCGGAAATTCTGAGGACCAAAAAAATAAATACCGAGTTGAGTTTTTCTAGTTCAATTTGATTTTTATCGGTTACAAAGACGTCTTCCTAGTGTAAAATTTCATCCTCTACAAGTCGAGTTCTTTGACATTTTTCTCGTAAACGCACGATTTCAGCGTAAAATCGAGTTTTTTGTACGAAATCGAGGTCTAAACCAAAATATCATAATTTCATCACAAAATTGACCTTTGACACCATTTAAAATGATTGAAATTGGCCCAAATTTTGGCAAACATGTTTTTTTACCAAACGTCATCGATTGCCGCCTGGGGAGCGGAACATTTCAGACTTTCATTTTTTTTGACGCACCCTAGGTGTCCCTCTAAGACCATGAAAATTTTGAGGAAAAAATGTCGTATTTACTCCCCTTAAATTTTGCGACATATTTTTTTTCCCTGCAAATTTCCTCATGGCCCGAGATTCACCTCTCGTTTGCCAGAATTCTCAGATCGCGATAATGGGCATTTTTTGCACACCTGCAGTGAAGAGCATGCACAGTGGACAAGAAGATACGTTTGAATTAAAACAGTTCCTTGATTCTTTTCCTTCAAAATCCAAAATGGCAAAGAATTTTATACACTATCTAATTATTGACATCCTAGACTAATATCTTTCGAGTGAACTTACCTACAAGAACGAAGAGGAACTCCTGTTTTGTCACTCACTTCATCCAAATCTTTTCTATGGCGAGAAGAAATTCGTTTGTTCAAAATTTCTCGAACCACTGGATCATCTAGAGAAAAATAGCTGAAACAGATGTTGAAAATAACAATGACAGCATTCTTTTCCTCCCGAGTAAAATGTCAATTAAAGTAGAGTTTTCATCAAAAAGTTGCTTTCACTTTTTGATTTATTCCAAAAATTTTTAATCAGTTTATTTTTATTTTTTTATAAATTCCAGAAATCAATGTCTTGAAGGACGGATTTAAAATTATCATTAAAATTCTATATTTTCAGTCATTTCACCCCTGACCTCGCAAACAAACCCCCTGAGATAACCCACTGGCAAAAGACCGACCAATAATAGAAAAACATCATGAGATGCGAAAGGGAGTCTAATATTGAGGCTGGAAAATTTCTCTCTGTGCCTTTCCTCTAAACAAAGAAATCTTGCCAAGTCAAATTGTCTAGGGACCAAGAGAAATATCAACTTAAACAGCTTTCCATCTTGTCCGCTTTGACACTGAACAAGGAATAAGCTCAAAAATTCAAGTTAAGCGGTAATGTATCCGCTCTTGAATTTCTGGTGAGGTTCCCGGTGGAGCTTCAGTGCGTACGATGAGCAGCATAGGGTAAATAGATCTTGTAAAAAGATTTATTACAGTAACTTTTCCAATTTTTTCAATACTTGATTATAAATTGTATCTCTTTACTTTACTTTTCTCCAGTTTTAGATGCTCAATTTCAAATTCTTTCGACTAAGCAAGATTTCATGGTAGTTAGCAGAACCAAATTAAAGTAGAGAGTTAAAGATTGAAACTTTCATGTGAAACCTGAAGTGCTTTATTTAGGTAATGACCTGAACTTGCTTGGTATCATTCAAGAGTTACACAGAAACCTCAGCGAGTAACTTCTACCATTTCAAGCTTTTCATACCCAATGCACTGCTCTAGTTTGATCTCACCGATTATGGTAAAATTTTCAAGGAATCATTCCAAAGTAGTTGAATGTGCAAGTTTGATGGATTCAATGTACTTAATGAAAAAAAAAAATCCTTTCTTTCTAGTTCTATACAGCAATCAAATGAAAAATTGGTGATAGAAATTAAGAACCAACCTTTTAATTAAAAATGATCTGGTTTGAGGCTCTATTTGAAATGCAAGTTGGTTCTCAAGATGTTTTGGGTGATGTAGATGCTTCTCCATTAAATCATACGTCTGATAATGATTATGTATATCCGATAACAGAAGATCAAATGGTGTGTCGATTTCAGCAAACTTTTGTTTTTGCAGGATTTCAACAGCTTCTGATGCTAGAGATAAAAATAAAATATTTCAGTGAAGGTGCTAGAATCATGAAAACCAAAAGAAGGTTTCCCCTAGGCTTTGAAGCAAGATAAAGTTAATTGTTAAGACTAATACTGCGTTCTTTTTGGCAAACCTGTCAAAAGCTTTGTCTACAGAAGTTCAGCAACTTGAGTACAGACACTTAAATGAGCTTCTCAGGAGCCCAATATATGCACGAAGCATCAATAGAGCCTAAAAATACTCGGCAAAAGTGAGAACTCTTGAAAGAATCCTGCACACCAATGAGGACTCACTGGCTCCCGGTGCATTTTGATGTAACTTAAGGAGAGCTTGCGCATCGTATGTTGAGACCAATTTCAAAGTGTTGTTTATATCACCACCTATCAGTGGTGCCATCCGACTGCATGTATTAAACTGTTCAGTGGTGCTAATGCAGAGCTCATTAGAGATTGATATTTGTCTCAACATACGATGAGCAAGCTCTAGGTTATCGTAATGGGGGTTAAACCCCACTGGTGTACAGGATTCTTCAATGAAAGCATGTTGAAACAGTCAGTCCTTAACGAAGGATTTTCCTTGGTTGAAAAAAAGAGACTTCCCTGGTGATACTTCAGCTGGATGGAGGCAAGTTGTGACAAAGTAATCTAATCTGACTCAAGATTTTTTTGACAAATCATAGAACTAGAGTGAGTCCCAGAGTTCTGATTTCATGAAACGCAAACGTTATAAGGAAATCTTCATGAATTCAGACAAGTTATGGAGGAATAATGCCTCCATTTGGAATATGGAATGATATCTCAATTAGGAAAATTTTTCAACCTACATTGTCTGCTACATTGGAAGCTGGAAAAATATTGCAAAATGTAGAGAGAAAAAAATTGGTGCTTATTCTTACATGATTTTCCATTGAGCCACAGTTTGAAGATCATAGGATCGACAACTGTGTAATTACTGATAAAAACATCCAAATCCGTGTACATAACGTCCTCAGGAACAGATCTTTCGAACTAAAATAATTGCGGATTTAATATCTTTAATTAATTGAAATTTGAAGATCAAAATTCATTATCAGCACAACGACTTTGATAACAGAGCTAAACCAAAACAAAACCTGGGAGGGTACATACTACATACGTCATTCACTATGTCGATATATCGAGTGGCGTACTGACGTAATAAAAATGTCTAACCACTGACGTGTTTTGTTTTGCTCGGTTATCACAGGCAGTTTGGTTATCAGTAACAAGTAGTCTCATCATCATTTTCATCACAAATTTATGTCATTATCTCTCTGTTTTGCTTCATCAGCAATAAATTGATCGGTTTCTTATTCTACGCTGTTTCAATTAAAGGTTCCGTTTACTTATGACGTGGTGTCATGACTTTGGTTATGCCTTCTTTGGACGAAGATACCGATGGAGATAAAGATTCCCGAGATACACGCGGTTTTAATTTTTTCGAAAAAATGATGAATCTTGACAGAGAAATTATCCTATTTGCTGTTTTGCTGACATCTTATGCTGCTGTCCGAAATATGTAAGAGCTGATGCAACTACTTTTAAGCTATGTATTTTTGTTTCTAGCTAGTAGCTAGGTATATTCCTTAAATTCAGGATCAGGCGCAAGCACAACACAAAGTACATATCTCACCAGGTCATCCCTTTATTACTAAGTTGATGACATTCAGCGTTTTGTACCCAACTAAGACCCTCTTCAATTTTTGAATGAACCATCTGACTGTCACTCAGATTTTTAAGATCAGTTGATTATTCCATTGTCATTCATAAGGAGAAAACCAGCCGCATGTGAGATTAGCGTAACTTCATTTTAACATCTCAGAATTTCTGCTAACATTTACCTGAGACCCTGAACACATCCAATTATCACCTCCTTTACCATCAACAATTTTTATTCTATGTATTTCTTTTATTTTTTTCTCCTCCAGGAATCAAACAGCCTCAAAAAATTCAGAACCTAAGCCATTCTTTGCTGAGAATCCGTGGTTGAACGATTTTTACCATGGAGAGATCCATAAAGCCTTCAGTCTTGCTAGCAAGGAAGATATCACGTTTGTCATGTATTATGCCCCTTGGGATGCTGACTGCCAACGTTCCAGACCAATTTTTGAGAAAGTGGCACGCTATTATCACAGACAGGTACTCCAAGAAATTTCCACTTGATTTCACTGATATGAAACAGAATGCATCCATAAGTATACCTCCGTGGCCGTCTTCAACATCCTTTTCACATGTGAGCATGTGACTCCACTGAATACAGCTTTGATCACTATTATCTCCAAAACAGCGTACTTGTCAGGAAAACGGTTCACGAAACAATTTGCTTGAAATTTTAATAACTTCTAAAGAAAGTCACAATTTGCAATCCCTTCCTCAACTAATTTACGTCTCTAAGTACTCAGTGACATCAGTGGTTACAAATCCCCAAAAAGCTATCCCCTCCTCTCTCTTGATTTAATCTGGCGCACTTGGCCTCCTAAATATGTTTATAAATTACTGTCCCTAGTTCATCACCAATCATCAAAGTATTTAAAAGTTAACAAAAGTTTGAAAATCATTCGTAAGAACTTATGACGAATATGTTTATTAGAAAGAAAATGCACTAGAATACTGAACGAAGGGGACAAGTCATAATAAATGCCTTTTAGCACTTCCACAATGCATTTGGTTTTCAAGTTGGATGTTATTTAAGTACTATTTACTAGAACTTAATCCTATAATAGAACAGGTAAATATCTGTTGTGCATGAGGAGAAATATAATTATTAAACATATCAGTGTTCAAATGGTGATATCTCTGAATGTAATACCTCTTTTGCATATGGGAGCCTATAAATGAGGCTATGCTACCCATTCGGTACCCCTTTGATTTTTAGATACATATTATAATATCGTATGCAGTTACTGTGTTTGTAAATGAGAAATTTAGTAGAGTTCTGTTTAACCTTTTTCAGATTCATTTCATGGCCATAAATTGTTGGGAGCCCTCGAGTATTTGTAAAGCCCACTTCAGCAAAATCAAAAGATATCCAGTTTTCATGGTATACTTCCAAAGAAGCAAAGGCGTAGAGTACCAAGGGGTGGTGGACTTTGCTCACATGACTCATTTTTTATCTTCTGTAATCACCCCTCTTCAAAGGATAAAAGATTTGCAAGCATTGAATAACCTCCGAGCTACTCACGATGTAAGATGTTTTTTCTTTTCGCTCATTTTCAAATTGATTTAGTGTCCTGGAAGAATTCTGCAAGGTTCCAAAAGAATTTCACCCATTGACATTTTCTCAACAAAAGTGATATTCTGGAGAACAGATAATAGTATAAAAAAAGTCTAAGAAAATCAAAAAGAAAAATAATTCACATTTAATAACTTTGAAATGTGCTATGATTGAAGTTCAAGAATTTAGTGATTTGATCACACTGTGTTGGAGGTGCATTATTGCCAGCAAGTAGATTATTGAAATTGATCGGCAAAACAATAGACAAAGAAAACAAAGGGAAAATAGAGCGATCCTATTAATTGAAACGGGTGGTTCTTATAGACTAAGGGAGAAAATGATGGGCCAACCATAGGATCTCTCGAGAGTCACTGGTAGTTAATTTTTTACGTACCTTTTTTGTCCATTCCAACCGCATGCCTTTACCAGTAGGATCGCTCCATTTTCTATTTTTCTTCTTTGCCAATCACTTTGTCCATCAATTTCTATAATCAGCCTGCAGATAGTGCTAAAAAATCAGGACTTCTCCTTATTCAAACCCATTTCAAAATTCACATTTCATCGCACAACCTGGCAACAGGTGCATGCCAAAATTTAATGTTGAAACTTGCTAGAGTCGAAACTTAAAGTAGAAAAAATTGCATTTCCTTCAAGCACCAAGTTACAATATCAAGACAGCTTTTTTTAAGGCCCGTAAGGGCACAAGTTCTGGAATCTCCGGCCATGAGGTAGAGTTAATGGTGTTGCTAGTTACATTCTTTTCCGTCTGCAAAGGAATACCAAGAAATTCGGCGCTGGCTTAGTTTCGAGTTTTTTTTTATATATTGCTTCTTACAATCTCCAGAGTAAGATGAGCTTTTAAAATCGAAATTTCTAAAAATCGGAACTGAAGAGTGTATTTTTTTTTTCATTTGAACATGTATTATCATACAGGAAAGTAGCACAGTAGCTGAGTCTAAAATGCCTTTGCCTTTTGCCTGTTGTTGAGCCTTTTGTTTTGAACTGAGTTGATGCCAGACAAAAGAGGAGCTCTTTCCTTGATCACCTACATTTTCCATCTTAATTAAGCAAGTAATAATTCTTGGAAAACACACTTTTCCAACCCAATTTTCCCAAGATTGGCATGTAGAAAGTTCTATTTTAAAAGCTCTACTTGCTTCGGAGATCCTGAGGACCGTCTTATCAATAAATCTCGAAAAGCCGGTGCAGAATTTCTCGGTATTGTGTGTTACTTAGTCCTTTCATGAAATTCTGAGGATGTCAGTCATCAAAAGTGTCACTACTTGGTGTAAAGTGACTCAAATGCCCTAATCTACAAGAATTCGCTTTTTTTCCAGGCTGTGGTCATAGCTTACATACCATTGTACGGAATGTTTGGCCGAGAGCACTACAATGCATATTATCATGCGGCTCTCAAGTTTTTGGAAGTGGATCCTCGACGAGATGTGGCTTTCGCAATTGTAACAGATGCATCTTCTGCTGATAACACAGTTTTTCATCGATCGTCTCAGCCACCCACCATTCCTGTCATAAAACTTTTCTTATGGAATACAACACTGGTAATGATCAGCTCAGTAATCACTTTGGAAGTGTCACATTTCCTGCATTGAATGTCTCCTGGCACATCATAACACATCGTTTGAATGTGTATGCCAAATGGTTATTTTTGCAGATAATTTCAAGACTAAGTAAAATTTATGGGACTTCTGTATTTTAATATTTTTTGGGTACATAAGGGTAAAATTACTATCCTGCCAAGGAAAAATCCAGGACGGATGCGAGGATCATCCGCAAAGTGAAGTCTCCTTAGATTTCCTGACGAACCGTTGATACTAGAAAAAAAACCATTCATACTGTTGGCTTTATTATACTCAGCTTTATTTTCAGCTAAAGTTTTTCTAAAATTGTACCAAGGAAAAATCAGAGGATTGTCAGGGAGTAGAGAAAATCAAGAATTATGTACGCCATGGTTTAATCTGAATGCAAACCTTGTCTGTGACTTGGGCAAAATTGACCTTTTGTCAGTCAGCAAATAATTTGTGCAACATCAAAATACATACTATATCCTGTCGCAAGGAGAATATATTTATTAAATCGAATTTTGAAGTTCAACCTATTTTATTGTATTGTAGCAGTTTGAAAGGAAATGGGATCCCTCGGACATCGTAAAGTGGATACACGAAAGCACTCACAAGATAGCAACTTGGGTGTACCCTCCTGGAGTCAAGAGCAATCTGCTGGCACAGTTCATTGAAAGTGGTCCAGCCGTAATTCTTTTCACCCCTAGAAACATGTTCCTCAGTCATACCTATGAGTACAACATTGTGAGTACTAACGCTAATATCACTTTATTGTCTCCAGAACAATATGAAACCTTAATGAAACACACCAAAAAAATTCAAAGTTGATTAGAAGGCTTAACTGAATTCTTTTTGGTCCCTCTTTTCTCTTTGAATTTCTTTTCAATGAAACCATTACATTATAGATGTAAAGAAGAAATTTGGCTGCATTTGATATTTACCCGACTGTTAAATTTCCTGGCCGAAGGAAACAGTACCTAAAAATTATCTCTCATTCACAGGTATACTACCCCACCGGAAAGCTTGAAATGGGGTTTTGGTAATGAAGTTTTGCAGGGTTGCAGTGTAATTATTCTAATTTAAAGTTTCACACAAAACCAAAAAGTTCAAAAAATCATTTTTAAGGAGAGGAAATGCTATTCGAAAGCTGACTGTCAATTTGATGTAACAAGGCAATGCCTAAAGCTAAGTTCAACCAATCAGCCAATGCTGTTTCCCCTACCTCTCAATGTCATCAGTACCTGCCGAAAAGAAAAGTTTCAAACAGGCCCCCTTTTTGACATTTTCAAAACAGGGTTTCTTTCCCATTTAGGGAAAGAATCCCTGAAAAAAATTAAAAGAATCTGAAAAAAATTCCTAGAAACTCTGTTCTCTCTTTACTTCCAGAAAATATTGCCACCTCTGCCAATTTGCCACTGCCACAGCTATTGCCAATATTCGTGCCACTGATCCATTATTGTTTTTGTAGGAGGGAAAACAAGTTAGCTGAAGCTTTTGTTCAAGTGTAATTATAGAGTTGAAATTAAGCTAAGAATGCCTTCCCATATGTCGTCTTAGTATTTATCAATATTGACTAATACTTCTTTCTTACTTTCTGATTGTATTTTAATATTTCAGTTGAAATTAGCAGCATTGCATTTTTATGATTGCGACTCAAAGCAAGAAAAGAAGGATTTCTATTCAACCATGTATTCGCTTATGTTTCTGATTTCCTCAGATGGTAAGACCATTCATTATCTTAATGAAGATTTTTCATCACTATGAATATTCGTAAAATACGTTTAAGCTTGATAATCAAACTGTTTACAAAAAAAGAGCTTACTGTATAATGGCTAAGGAACAGCACCGTCCATCTTGCAAATGACAATTTTACAGGACGGAGAAAAAAACCTCGTAATTTTTGTAATTTTAAGGTCAGGTTTGCAATATTCTTCATACATCAGAGCGTCATTATGGAGTACTCATGCGGAGATAGAAAAGAACTAAAGACATCAGCTTGTGTGTTTGAGTGGGCTTTGTAGAATGCTGAGCGGTTGCGAATTAATTTTTGCTCAAATTGTCAGCTAGACAGTATTGTTCCTCAGCCATCTTATACCTTCTCTCAAGCTTCGGGAGCTCAACATTCTCATCTCCGCCTTTCCGTTGATCACTACTTTTAAATCTGCAGGTTTAAATAGTAAAGTTTACTAATTTAAATGAATATTCAATTTAAAGAAAGGCTGGGAAATGGGAGAAACCCCAGTATAAGATAGATGGATTTTGTCTTGCTAACTTCCTAGTGTACATATACCTCAAACCAATTTAGTTTTTGAGTCAATCTTTATCAAGAAAGAGCCTTTATTTCACGTTAACATCAGGAAAAAAAATTCAGAATTCAGGGAACTGTCAAGGAATTTCATTTTCCAAATTCTGTGACAACCCTGCATACCTCTTTCAAAATAACTTGTGCCTTATCATTACTATCAGCTCTCTGACCTTCTAAATTTTTAGGCCAATTTTCATGGTTTTTGCGGCTATCAACAGGTGATGGTTGGTAGATGAGCCTGCTCTATTCAGATTTTGGGAATGTGACCTAGATTTGTTTATATAAGAAGACAAAGTTGCAAATTCTCTCATTTAAACGATGTAAATGTCACAGATTGTTCTGAAGTACCTACTACCGGGCCAATTTTGATAATTTTTGTAACTATCAACCGGAATCAGTTTCAAGATGAGCCTGCTCTATTTAGATTAACTCAAGATACGCATGCAAAGTGCCCTTGGGGGGTTTGGCTTTGTATCGGCCAGGGGGCGTTCTATCCTCTATTCCTCATTTTCTCTCTCTCTTTTTATTTGCTAAAATCTCACACGAAACTGAAAACTGTTTTTCAGATCAGCTGGACTCGTTGAAAGCTTTGAAGTATGCATGCTCAGCCAATACTCTCCAGAGAGAACCTGAAATAATTTCAAAATCCAGAAAATTGACAAGCATTTTGGAGGAGCACTCAGTCCACAGAAACTTAAGTTATAATAATAGTTTTAACTATTTTCAAAATGATGAACTCAACTCCTATGCTACAAGCAGGTGGGAAGAAATTTTAATTCGTCTCTTCTTTCTAGTCTCTCAATAACGAATTGGAGGTCTTTAAGCTGAAAGGAACTATGTGTAAATGAATAAAATAAAAAATAACTATGCAGCATGTATACCTCACATGCATAGTTCCCTTTGATTTCATTAATTATCACATAGTTTCTTCTAGCATGAACATATCCAATCGTATGAATTTGCAAATAATTTTTTTTATTCCTGCATTGAAAATTCCAGCCTGGTGCTAACTGTCGTATTTCAACGTGTTAGAAAATTAGGTGTGGTCAACCAAAGTTGAATTGTTTAAATATCGATGTCCAATGTGCGAAACGACGTATCTCCGATTGCAACGATTGTAGACTTCCTGTCATACCTCATTTTTTCTTCGGAAGACTAGCCAATGTAATTTCTGGAAAACTTCCTTGAGTTTTCTTCTCTGTAAGTAGAATATTCTGTATCGATTTCAGGCTGTAAAGTTAGCTTATTTCCCTTTGAAAAAGCAAAAGAAGAGCAGAAGTTCTAAATGGAGATATGTGGTTTCGCACTTTAGTCATCAATATTTGTGCAAAGTAGTTTGATTGAATGGCATCTAGTTGGAATTCTTTAATAGTGGGCCTGAAGATATAAATGGAGGCATTAAGTTAAATGTTTTCTTACCAACATTTCTTGTATAAAAAACTTTTCTTGTGCCGGCAGCTGAGCCAATTAAATACGGACCATTTTCTGTGCGACGGAGACAAATTGGCGCTCCTGGTCGCCTTTTCTTATGCTTGTATACTTCAGACTTCAGCCGGGAAACCCCCTCTCTCCTCCAGTTAGCTATTCGGGCCAGCTCCGTTAATGTGATGTGGAGTCATCTTATCTCTCGCACCTATCCTCTGAAATGACTAAAGAGTTGCTGAAACAGAATAGGCAGATGTGATGAGAAGGAAGGCGTACGGTCTTTGCACTGGCCGAATGTATAAGCACTTAACTGTGTGTGAGGTCTGATCAAAAACGACAAACAACCAGAGGAGTGGGGATTCGTAATTCCTCTGTCATGGTGTGATATGATAGAAAGTAGTCTAGGTTCAATAGTGAATATTTCGGCCTCTACTCGCTAGAATGAGCTAATTTTTTGATGAACATTATGTCAATCTATTAAAGTTCTCTTAAAATCTACCAAAAGCCACTGATTGTGAGCCCCCTTGTGAGGGGTTTGTTTTATTTGAGTAATCTGAGCTAAAAATGAAAGCAAAAACTCAAAAGCATGATAAATAATTGCTACCCAGTCTGTTAGTTGTAGAAATCAACTTTGAGGAGGTTGGTATTGATTGCTGATTTCTTAATACAGCAAAAAATTTTCAGATAAGTCCAATATAAACTAGATCTTCAAGACATTAATTAATCTCTTCGCTTTCCAGATCCTGGCAACCATACAATATGGCCTTCACAGAAGAGTATTCCTCTGAATCTCTGCTGCGCAACAAGCTGAAACATGATTGTCGGAAACTGCGCTTTGCTCTGAAGTACTTGCCTGAACACTGGCTCAACAATGATGAACTTCACTCGGCCAAAAAAAATTCTAAAATATCAGCGAGAGGTTTAGGCTGTCAAGGTAATGTAACAATGTCATTTTTGGCAATGGATTCGCTCCATTTCGAAAATTTTGCTGCCAATCTTGGTGTGAATTTGAATGATAAATACGCGAAGACGGGTGTTTTTATCGTTGATTCAAAATCTGAATCCGTGCATTTTCTCAATGCAACTTATCTTAGCTTAGAGTCCTTGGAGCAATTCATTTCCAATTTCTCTCAAGGCAACTTGTCAAGACTTCTACGATCATCTGAAGGAAGTCATAGCTCAGAAACGAAGTCTGGGAACTCTTTAATTGAGACTGTAACTTCCAAAACTTTCAATCATTATGTGATAAACACAAACAAGACTGTTCTTGTATATTTTTATTCTCCATATTGTACATATTCACAATCTGTTTATTATATTTTTGTATCATTAGCAAATACTCTTAAATCCTTGAATGAGTTCATCTCGTTTGTCCGGATAGATGGTGATAATAATGATCTAGAATGGCCTTTCATGATAGATAAGTACCCTAGTATTATTATTTTTCCTTCGACAGATAAAACCAATAGCAAATTATTCAATCGGAAAAGTAAAATCAGCATTTCAAACTTATCTAAATTCATTCTGTCTAATCTAAATTTTGAACTACGTGCGCAAGTTCATATCCTATTTTGCTTGAATCGCATGTTGTCTGCTTTCTCTGTTGAAAGCTGTATGATTAACTTTAAACAATACAGTGTATATTTTATTAGTTACTATAATAGTCAGCTACGTAACATTCTGATACATCACAAACTACAAAGTGATGCATTTATGAATGGTACCAATAGGAACAGCAAATCTGCCAAACAAAAAACGAATTTTTTTAGTAGTAAAAACGGGGGCAATAAAGCAAATCAGAGCCTGATTTCTAGTATTAACAAAATCAGGTGTAAATTAATGTATATTCAACTAGTCAGTGCATACTTAAACAAAGTGGACTTCACTAATGCAGATTTAAATTTAGTGTCCAGTAATGTTCTAAGTTTTTATCAATTTTATTTAAAGGATGATAAAGAAATTCCAAAGTATGAGTCTTCACCATGCATCAATTTGTTTCATGCTTTGAAACAGTTAGAAAATAATCAAGTTGATAAACAAGAAACTCTCAAAAACTTCCAAAATAACGTAATTCAGTACACGAATACTTTAAAATCGGTGTTGTGCCATATGAGGGAAAGCAAAGCTTCCAAGTGTGAAAATTTGAAGCATCTCCACAATGTTAACAAAGGGAATCCAGTTGAACATCCTGACCCCATTACTAATGATTCTCCAACGACTCCTGTGAAAGATGATGAAACATATTCCACAGAAAACAAAAACCCGGATTCAGGCGAAACAGCTTCAAATGAAATCGTAGTCCCATCCTCTGAAGACCCACAAGAAAAAGAGACCTTTGAGGGGCGTGCAATTGTAGATGAATTGTGACGGAAGGACAACTTTTCTTTGTTGGCAATTTGCAGACTGAAATCCAGACCACAGACTTGTTTCAATAGCATTCCTTTGATGTATATTTACAAGCCGTACATCTCCCTTGATAAAAATGTGCAAACGGAGGTCATGCAATGATGGAGTGGATGTTTAACCAGAGAGTTTGGCAGTGAGAATCAAATTTAACCAAAGGCAAGAACCAAGTTTCCACTGTAAAGGTTAAATATCCTCCGTCTTGGTTATTTTTGGAACCTCCTCTCCCTAAAGTTGGAAATTTGGATATTGGTACTGATTTGGGGAAAAATAATCAAGCCCGTAGGAGTCAATTACCAGCAGGCCGATTACTGAAAGTTTAAAGCAGCCCAATAAGACATCAAACTGCGATGTATTACATGGTTAAGGTATGTCTATGACTATGTCTTGTCTTGCCGTGCCAACATAGTTTCAATAATCGGGCGGCAGGTTAGAATTTTTGATCGAGAAAGTCTTACAAAACTAATGTATGATCTTCTCATTCTTTAGAGAGAGGAACCCAGTTCAAGAAAAATGATATGATGGCGACTGCGTTACGTTTGGATCGAATTTATCAGAAACGCACCAAGTCGCATTTTGGAAAAAAGCTAGTTTGGAGGAATTCAGAACTCAACCAGCTGTTCATTTTCACCTGTTAACAATTTGAAGTTGAAAAAAATTATTTTCACTAGGAAAATAGCATTTAAACTTTATCCTTAACATTGAGTCCTGTGGAGAAATATAACTTCAAACCTCCTTTTCTCAGTTCAAACTTGATGCAACTTGGTCTGTTTCTGATTTGATTCGCCAGTGAGCTTTAATTAAAGTAGTAGTTCAAATAAAGTATACACCTCTGAACAAAAATGTCAAAAAGGAACTTTGGTATCAAACGCAACTTCACTAGTATTGACCCCATTGACTTGAAATTTATTACATTAAATCTGGAGGGTGATGAAGCCCTTCTTCAAATATCCAATCATATGTTAATTTACAGGGGCTCCTCAAAGATTGCTTCCCAAAAAAGTTTGTCGTGCTAAAACTTAAAGGAACCTAGTGAAATCATAATGTATGTAACACTTATACATATACTTTCACAATGTTTACCAAAGAAACCATTTATTTCAGTTTGTGACCTGACAGACTCCCTGGCATAATGTATTTTACCAGAAAAATAAAGCGTAAAATTACTCGATAATTTCCATAATTTTTCTTCCCTGATTGAAGAATAGTCTTTGAAAATTTTAAGCAATAGAAGTGCCTCATCTTGATGAAAAAAAATATGGGAGGAACGAAAATTTTAAAACAGTGTTCAAAATGCGTGGTTTCTAAGTTCAGCCATCAACAACCTAGACTGTGCATCTTACTCAACTTATTCTTCTTAAAAATGCATTTTTCGCAAACCAACGATTTTTTTAGTTTAAGTTTCCAGCGTTTTGATGAATTTAATTTTCCAGTAACTGAATAATTCGATGTGGTCACCGGTCTTTTGGGTAGGTAGGTACTGTTGCTTCAGTGTAATACCTATTGCTTTTGCTGTCATGTGTATGTCTGTAAGCGACCCTTAAATTGTCAGTCATAATAAGTTCTTTTGATTTCATTGGACTACCTCTGACTTTAATGTAGATGCTGTCCTATGTAGGTATCCTAGATATCCTAGATGTAAAAAATTGACCAAGACAGGTTATGAATTTTTATCAAAATTTATAAAAAAAATGTTTACCTAGCTAGGGTAGAATTTTTTTTTGCAAATACTTTCATAGTTCTGCAAGAGTAAAGGTTATTATATTTCTGTTACCAAAGCACACATCTCTGGGACTAAAATTTAGAGAATTATGCATATTTTTATCAAGCACTGGGTCAATTTGACCTATGTTTGATAGACAAAGACTAAGTAAAAACACTCGATAAAAAAAGTGTTTCGCAATTTTCTCAGCATGCAAGATAAAATGCTTAGAGCTGAGACAATTGCACCTAGAGACCACCATCAATTTTACACCCATTCAGTATAAAATTCTGCTATATTTTAATCTTGTCCTCTGTAAATGAAATTTTGAGATATTGCTCCATTTCTCTTTCAAGGACCGTAATATTTAAGGAAGCATCTATTTATTTTATATCTTGTAATCTAAAAATTCGACCCTATACATTTTTTAATAGATGTATTTATTTTAAGGAACTTGTAAGAAAACTCTCTTTTGCATTTATGTTTATTTTAATTTGATCGGACTTTTTCATCCCATCAGCCCAGGATAAGTACCTAATAATTCTCCGCCTACATTTCTGATATTTTTCTGAACAGTTACACAATTCCGTCTCTGGTTTCTCTCGAAAATTAACACTCTAAAATTCGACAGTGCTGCATCATTAAAGAGTCATCCTGCGATGAATCACGTCTCCCTAAGCTCCAATGATTGCAATGATACTTAAAAGGAAAAAAATTACTGCAGCAATGAAACCTGACTGGTTCGGGATCATTTCCTGTTTAAAATATTTTTCCTGCTGAAAAATAATGTTGCCTTTTCCCCTGTTGCAATTGGTAGCTTATTGCAATTTTATCAATGGCAATTTATTGCAATTTGTAAGTACCATTGTAACCAAAAATTGAGGTATATTTCAGTTCAATTGTTACTTTGGATACATTATCAGTGAGATTATTGTGATCAATTGAGATAAAATAGAGATTTTACGATAACTAAATGGCAATTTTATCGATAGGTAAAATATTGTTGTAAAATCAGGTAAAATGGTTTATTTATCGGCGATTCTAGTGACTTTATTGCAATGAACTGCAATTTGTCTGCTGGAATGTTCCTAAAACCACTTTTTGGGTCTTGGAAGGTATTCCATTGACTAGGTAGGATAACCTGTAGTGTATTTATTTGTCCATGAACATGACCAAAGCCTTGTTCCAAAATTTATCCTAAGTGACAGATGATCGATGGACGACAATTTTGTGTAGCAATTCTTTCAAATTTATTGCGCGAGTCTCTGTGATGTTTTCTAGCGATAGTAAAGACTATCTCGTTACTCAGCATTCAAATAATGAACCGTGTGTTAGATCTCTAGTGCTCCCAGTACCTAAATTCGTTTTGCTGATTGACTTTAAAAGTGAACTGCTCAAAAATCCGGGGAGTAGCTTTTTTTGTCCTCTTCCAGCCCAAATATCATAACAGCCATCATTGACAAAATGCAAGCAAGCGCAAAATTTTGCAGTTCAGGGTATTTTTTGCTTAAAAATGCAGATTACACAGCTAAAAGTGATAAGTTTGGATATTTTCCAAAAAAATATGTGAACCAACTTAGAATATATGAGCAATCGAATCCTGAATGTAAGTTATTTTCAAAATTACATTTTGCTATAGCTAATAGGATACCACTACTCCCAGCTCATCCATGAAAGCACGCAACTACTAAGAGAAACTGATAGGACATGTGCTGTCCCTTAAATGAACCATCTAAAATAGTGGTAACTTCACGCAAATTGTAGTACAATGTATTCAAATGTCTATTACTCCTTTCAACCATTTTCTTTTACTTTCATGGAGAATAACCCTCCACTGGCGCTTGTCACTTTTACCCTGGAAGAAAATGCAAAAGTCACAGTTAGTTTCCCTGGAGATTTCCCAGTAAGGACGTTTTATTTTACTTCCTTAAATTAATGTGATCTTAACTTTTTATTATTTATTTTTGTAAGTATGTTAATAAATGCAATGAATTATTTTTCACTCATTGCTTTTCGTTTGTAAATATCTTCTTTGCAACTAAGAGTTTTCTTGTTGGAATTGTAATAAATACTTATATTTTTGGACCTTAAAAAATTAGTAAACTATAATTTTTGTTAAGGATCTAAACGGCTGTGCAGTGGTCCCTGGACAATCCTAAATGATAATTTGGGCCAGGCTGTGCAGATTATTAATCATCAGACAGTCCATCGTTCCAGCATTTTCCGGCCTCTTTTCCAATGAACCACTAGACAAGATATCAATTCAAGCATTCTGATTTCTGTAACCTCTTCTAAATTTCTCGTGGAACACGATTTGCGCCATAAAAATCACTGAAAATAAGTCCTAATGAAGATATTAACGTTTTTATCCAGCATTACTCACAGAAAATATGACTTTCCCGCTCACAAGAAAAATAAGTGAATCTATGTGAATCAAATCGCGCACTACAACGGTTTCGGCAGGCCTCTGAAGGGAGCAAAGTTCCCTCCCTGCCCTGTGTTGTCCCCAGTGTGAACAACATGTGACAGCTGAGCTGAAGTGCAGAGATTGAGGTTACTATATTTTCATACCGCGGAGACTGTTAAGATAACATATAGTGTGTGCTTTAACTCAAAAGGGATTATGGTTTTTTTTTTGAATGAGCCTGAGGTTTGAATTTATGCATAAAAAAATGTTAATATCTTATTTAGGAGTTCCTTTCAATCATTTTTGTTGCACAAATTGTATATTCGTGAAATTTCGGTGAAAGAACATGTATCATAATGCTTAAATTCGCACTTCATCGGGTGGTCCATTGCTAATTCTAATGGCAAACTCATCGGCAAACTTTGTACTTACATTACAAACATCGAATCCTTTTTAAGCTTCCCATTCCCATGGTTTGATCCTATACACAACTTTGGCCGCTCACTTTTCACAAATTTATCTGGATGATCCCCCAAATAATTCAAGAATAGTTTACCTACAGATCATACTTCTGCTGCACATAAATGTATTTTCTACTTTTTCTTACAGAACAAATTGCTTTTTAATAAGTTAAACCATTCCAAACTCAGGTATAAAAATCATTTAAGGGTTAAGCGTTACTCTCCATTGACCAGGCACCAAACAGCTGCAAGACATGTAGGTTCCTCGTGGGGCTCTCTAAAATTGGCTAAAATTTGTTTGATTTTTGAAGGAAAATTTTGTGCTCAAAACATTGTCATTGATTCATTTGTACACATGTCCTTCCCTCTAATTTTTGTTGCTCCAATTCATAATACCTATGTGAAACATTTGGAGGGTGATAAAGAGATGTACATCTAGTCCTTCGATTTTTGTGTCAATTTTTTTGTATTTATTTGTAAATTGTTGCTGTTAATTTTGTTTTAAAACTTTTAAAATAAAACGTCTTGATACTAAACAAGAATAAACAAGAACAAAAATCTTTTCAATTTCATACTTGTTTTGTATGGTTTTACACTTCATGATTCATAACTATTGAGAGAGTTGATTTCAGAAGCTCTAAAAAAAATGACCGAAAAAAATAGAGTTAAAAGAAAGGATCTCAAATCAAATGATTGCTCTCAGCACTGCTGTCATATCTCTCTCTTTTGCACTCGTTGAGTTGCGAAAGCAAAAACCATTATCAACTTCTAGCCTTCACTGTTAAATTTTCAGACCTTTTATTGCACAATACATCTTGGGGAGAGACTGCTACAACTCTTGAGTATCAGCATCAATTATAATTGTCATACTTTTTAAATGATTGCTGATTTAAGAGCCAGATTTTAGCAGCTCAACCCAATGATTTTTTTTGGAACTAGCGCTGAAGATCAGCCTTAAGGTAGGTTGGTAAATAAGGTAAAAATATAAAAAATTATGTAATGAAAACAACATTTATTTGAGTTTAAAAAATTGCGAGAAAAATTGATGTCTTACTTTTCCAATAAAGAATTTACACGGTGACATAGGGACTGCTAGACCAGCTAGGGCAGAATTTAACACAGAATTCTTTTCCTGAGCAAGGAAGTGAGCAGATTTAAAATTACATTACTTTGCTGATTTCTAGAACTGGAGATTAGAGAGAACCAGAATGGCTGAGAATATTAATAATCTTGTGGGGGAAAATATTTTGTCAGGCAATCTTTCAGCCTTAAAAAAAAAAACAAGCCTCATAAAGGATCTTTCCGCTCGAAACAGGTCTCTTGGCTTCTTACCTCCACTTGAATGTTTAAGCCTCTATAATGCTTTTGCCTCAATCTGTCTGATTTTCTCAATCCTAACAATTTGTATTTTTGAAAGGTAGATTGAGACAAATTATATTCGCTGATAAAATTGACAACAATAAAATAATTGGCAAGATTTAAAATGTAATTATAACTCTGCGGGCTGATTATTGAAATTGATTGACAAAACAATAGACAAAACAGACACTGCGGAAAAAGAGTGAATCTGCTGGTTGAGACTGGTGGTTGTTGTAAACAAAGGGGGAAAACATTGGACTAACAATGGGGTCTACCATTAGTCAGTCTATCACTTACCTCCTTTGTCCATTTCAACCACCCATTTCAATCAATAGGATCGCTTAGTTTTATCTTTGTCTTTTTTGTCTATAAAATTCGATGATCAACTCCCTGGGGCACCTGCTGCTGTCTAAAAATCAGCAAAATAATCTGACAATATCTTTAACTTGTTAAAGAATCACTGACAAACGAATTGTTTTGCCAACCCATTCAGATATGTCTCATTAAAACTCATCTCAAATTAAACTAAAAGGTTTTTAGGCGCTTAATCTTACTATGTGATGGCAATTGTGAAAGAAAGAACGGTACAGAAAAATTGAGAGGTCAGAGAATTTGAGTCAAATTTTCAGTGACGACCAATCAATCAACAAGCAAAATTACAAAGAGAAAAACAAACCCTGAATATGAAAGTATTCTAGATAAATCAAAAGAAATAGTTAACAAGATAATAACCGATAAAAATATAATAATCAACTGATCACAAATACATGTGCAAACATGTTGAAGGCAGTTACATGAAAAAAAGAAAAGAGAGCCCACCAACATGTTCACATTTTCGACTCTGATAAGTTAGTTGATTAAGTAGGGAAAAAAATAAATTTTTACTCAATAATATACATAATCAATTCGTTATAGTTTGATAAAAATATCTTTGAAACTATTGTACGTTACTTAAAGCTGAAAGAGTTCATCTTGCTTTTGCTGCAATCGCTCTAAAGAAGATCTCACTCGCCTTCCATGTGATGTGATGACTGCGACATCATTGTAACTAGTGTCATTGGGCTCTGCTAATTGAAATCTAGACATTGGAATTTTACCCCGAGCTCTCAGAGACTCGCCACTGAAGCTGAAAAACAACAATTCAAAACTAGGTGAGTGATTGGTTGTTTAATGTTTCAAGAAAACATTCAGCAAGAGAGTGCAAGCTGAAAGCTTAACTGAGATCCTTTTTAGATTTAAATTTTTTTAAAGAGGGGTATCCATAGGGGCCGTTTTTGAGCCCGCTCTAAATTTCCGCAATTCTACAATTTTTAAAACATTGAAGGTCAATATTTGAAGAACTCAATTTATATTTTGGTGTGACATGATTTGATTTTCCATCCCATTCTCAAGGGAAAGGAGGAAGCTATTTCCTCTCAGACAAAAAATTGCATGCAACCTGGGTTACTTGGAGAGAAAGAAAAAAGTTACATGGGATTTCTCAAAAGTGGTCGATCATCAAAAAGGTAATGAGAGAAATTTAATTCCGATTCCTAATATGAATGATTTAAAGAGTAGTGCAGAGAATCTTCTGATATTTCTTAGCAATTTCGGCTTGATACCTAAGCACTCACATATTCAATTTTCTCTTGACTCGGTGAGTTTATCGTTCATAATGATTAAAACTCGAAAAGTTATTGTTCTTGAGAAAAAAAATAGGCTCATTAAGACCCCTGGAAGTTGACAAAGATCGAAGAGTTGTTGCTCGTTTTTTCAAAAATAAAATACGAGTATACTTTCCCATAATTCCAATGAGTTTCAGATGGTACTTAAAAAAGCAGTGTTGCCAGTATTTCTTCATTTTCAATTCCCTGACTTTTCCTGACCTTCAAGTAAAATTTTTACCTCCTTTGTTTTGTACATCAATAAGCTGACTTTCATTATTCTTTGAATAAAATTTCCCAGTTTGGAGATCAAATTTTGAAAAAAGGCATTCAGTGGCTGGTTCAAACATGAAAAGCCTAAAAAATGACCGGAAAGGGTAAACAGTAGGAGGATCTGAGATGTGTTTAAAGGATTAGGAGATGTGTCAGGAGATATGTCCCTGACATTCCCGGTTTTCCAGACCGCCGGCAACCCTGGAAAAGGGAGGGCTTAGAAACTGCCAAAATGATTTCTCTTTACAACCTAGTCTTTCCAGTTCAGCTTTTAATTAGTAAACTATTATTGAAAACCATCTTTACTGTTTTTCTTCGTTCAGGCTAAGATAATTTTTCTAAGTGTCACAATCCTTTAAATTTTCAAATTTTCCTCACACTTGCAACAATGCGTGAATCACAAGATTACATACTTGCTGCAACTTGCATATGTGATTGTAGCAAGTACCCACATTAATCTTGACGTTCTTTTTGACATAAGAGAAAGAAAAAAAAACAAGATCTACTAGGAGAAAAATGTGCTTAGAGTAGACCCTGATTAGTTTGCTAACCTTTTGCTGGAATACCTACAGCAATTGATACACTGTTGCTGCGCTTGTTGCTTAGTTACAGTTAAACTCTCAAATCATGAATCTCGGTTTGTGACATTGCAGACTTCCTGTGTTACTCCAATTTTTAAATGGAAAATTACTCCATGTCAATTCTTAGAAAATTTCATGATTTTTTCTCTCCAGGGAAATTCTGCAAAGACTTCCAAGAATGATTTTGATTTGCTCTCCTTCAATTAATAAAATAGAGGAGTATACTTTAGTGCATCGCAAACAAGATACAAGGTTTGGGAGTTTCACCATCAATTTTCGGCTAAATTCGAGAAAAACTTATGTTGGTTTGTGTGATGGCAGATTTCCTGGCCTATTTGGACTTCATTTTGCAATTTGAAACTACAATTTCTTTCTTATTTGTAAAAGCACTTTATCTGCATAGAGATACAAACAACACATATAGTGTTTCGGAGGTGAGCTGGAAACAGTAGTTCCTGATTGCAAAGTGTAGTCCATTTTATTTTTGAAACAATGACTAATCAACATTTCCAATGCACATAGCTTGACGTTCTTTTTCTTTGCTTTTACAAAAAAAAAAAACTGGAAAAAACTTCATGCAAAAATACTGGGCGATACACAACAATGAAAGTAAAACATGAGGGGAAATTTTGAAATGCAGCAGTTGATAAAGCAGTTTTTGTAGTTCCATCAATCATGAGCTAAAATTTGTTCCGAAACTCAAATACTTACGAGCTGTTTCCTTCAGTTCGTTGAACTTGATTCTTAGTATTTGCAATATCACTATCGATTCGACATAGGTAGCTATTGAAATCAATTTCATCAGTGTCATTTTGGTCGTTCTTCATTTTAGAGGATGAGTTGAGAGACTGCGGGTAGCTATTTGACGATGTCATAAAATTCGGAACTTGAGACTCTGCACTGCTATGGAAAGGGCTATTTGGGTCATTATCAAAAAGTGAAATGTTGGAGGGTGAAGTAACGTTTTCATTGCTGACTGGTATCAACAGACTCTTCCTCAGAAATAAACTATCGTTCGTCCACAATTTGTTAAGCCTCCTGATTTGTTCGGTCTGGAAAAAAAAACAACATCAAAATGAACCCAAAAGAATACAACAGTATAACGATGGCATAAGTCCGCAATCATATATCTCATTTGCAGTGTTTGAAAATCTCCGCCTCTGGGTTATTTTTTTAAAGGAGAACAAATTGACATCATACCTTGCAGTTTATGCAGAATCTTTTTCGCACAGAGAAGAAATGTCACAGCAGTTTCAAGAAATTGCCATTGAGTAGTTTTCTGTTTAAAAAACAAAGTATGACAGGAAGTTTGCGACATCGCAAACCGAGTTATGTGATTGCCGACTTACACCGACGATAAGTCAATCGCTAAAAAGATGGTTATAAATAAACAATACGTATTAAGGAAACAATTTATTGGCTATCTTAATAGGGATGGAGGGAAATTAAAAGAGTGACAATCAACGTACTACAAGCGCTAAAATGATAAAGAAAATGGTTCAAGGAGGTGGCACAAGAGAGTCCCCTTGGTTGCGCTGATCCTTATAATTATGGCAGAGATAAGATTCCTACAACTTGAAATGGAGATTTTCATTTGAGACAGTGTAAAATCTAATGGAGGGGCTGTCCCCAAAAATTTAGATAAGGACTGCCTGACAACTAAACGCCTTTATCAAATTTATCAGTAGAATTTAACTAAATTACATTGAGCATTGGATACAGCCTTCTTATGAATCATCGTATCCTTTGGGTTAACTGACCTTTAGACTCTCACAGTGAAATGTGAGGTGAGAGTGGTATAGCAATTAGATTTTGCTGCGTTATCTTACAGCTGTAAGCAGTTTCTGTGCTCAAAGCTATCTTGTAGAATGGTTCAGATTTTATTTTGAGTCTTGAAAGCAATCCCGTGCTTCTAAGTTGAGACATTTATTTCTTTAATTTTATTTGCAAACAGGATTTATTATTATTATCTGAATTCCAAACCGAAAACCTGGACAAGTCCCTGAACTCTGACGTGCTGAGGAAAACAGCATATGAACATTGGAGATTAGCAAAATTTACCCAGATAAAATATGTATTTGTGAGGAAATTTAACCATATTTTTCCTTGGAATTTTCAGATATTTTGACTAAAATTGAGAACGAAATTATGCAAGAAATTTGAAAAAAAAATATTCACAATTTTCCTAGTTAATTCGTTTTTTTATTGAAGGAAATGGGGTGACATCTGGAAGCTCATGCGGCTTTCTTCCTCAGCACGGCAGTATTGCACCATCCTGCATAAGAGTTAATTAGCATTTCAGCTTATTTTTAAACAAAATGTCACTTAAATAAGTCGCACCTTGCATGAACTGAAAGTGATGTTAATTTTTAGACCATACTTTATTAGAAGTATGGACCTTAACAAATGGTACACTTGGGTGCTTGTGCGGGTGAACAGGTATAAGCACTGGTTCTCTTCGGTGAGAGAAAGATCCATATGCTGGTAGTTGCTCATATTCTTGACTAAGTACACCCAAAACTGAAACACTGGCTATGTAGGTTTAGCTACAAATCTCCTGTCTCAGTGACTAATACTTGCTGAACCGAACTTCCTGTCACTCCAGCTGGGATAACCAGTACGTCCGCCTGCACTAAGTAAATTTTATCACGAAGTAGAGTTAAGATGATACGAAGATTGATTCGGTATCTTCAAATTAAACCCAAAAGAAATGATGAGCAACCGGGATACTATCATTTGGAGAGCCTTCCTGCATGAAGAGTGACCTCATCGTTGTAGTTAGGAGTTCAAAGTCTCACTGCCCTGTTGACCTGAATGTGACCAACTTTTCCATTAGGATCTAACAGTCTAGTGGGTGCCACGGTGAAACAGGCAAGAAAACTAACTAAAAATATTTTAATTTTTCAGGAGACCCAAAAAAACTTGGGCTAATACTCACTGTTACACCATACTTCAGCGCTATGCCTTGCAATGTGTCTTTCTCTTCGATGATATGCTTGATGCACTGTTCCGGCTTCCTGAAAGCATTAAAAGAACTGGTGCTCCCATAACTTTTGAAAGATTTACTGGTGCCGCGAATGTATTTTCGCTCGTCCATTTTACTATCAACTGGGGGACTTTGATTTTGGCATTATAACACAACCAAGTCTAAAATTCAAGATTTCATGGTTAAACTTAACAGAATTATAAGTTGCTGACTAATGTAAAAAGATGAGAAGAAAACTGATAAATACAAGTTAACGTAAACTAATTCGTCAATTTCATTGAAACAACAGGAGTTCTTCTCTACGCCAATTTAGATTACGGACACACACATAACCTCATAATGAATGCGGAATCGCGAATTTCCTCAAAACAAATGAAATCAAGGCCTTCAATGCGATGCAATCAGTCTTGGAGACGGAAATCAAAATTTCTCGAAACGCAAACTGATGATATGACTTATCGTTATCAATTGCACTCGAGAGAGAGAGACAGATACGATTCTTGACTCTCTGACTCTCATGACTTCATGCATGAACCGAACTTTCCCATCAAGTAAACACGGGTGTTCACATGAAACGGTATTCTTTTATGGAAACCGTTTTTGGGTTTACGTAACATCTCTACTCTGTCACCGGAGACCAGTAAAACTTATGGAACGTATTCTATACGTTTCACCGTCCGACTTTTCAAAGAAATTNTAGTTATATTTTCATTACTTTTGTTCACATTCGAGGTACCGCCATCTTGGTGCACTCGTTTCGGCCTCCATGAGCGAGAACCAATCAGAATTGGATTTTTTTTTAGGCCACTTTCAGCCTAACCAAAAGTGAGTTGTCTTAACTCTGGGTTATAAAGGGACTCTACTCAAAGTTTCGAGTTTTGACACTTCTTAGCATTAAGTCCATTGTCGCCAGATTCTGCTGGAAATTATCATATTTACCATTAGACATTTTATAAAAAATGCTGATTTTTTTGCACTATCTATCTGGCAACAATGATTAAGATTGAGGTAAGTCAGCAGTAACGTTGCCAGATTCATTTGACCGAAAACCATTATAAACCATCTCGCGATTGAACTGATTGATAATGAACCATTCGTATGGCAAGCACATACTTTAATTTTATCTAGAGCGCACAGTTGCGGTACGCGACTCTTCAAAGAATTTTTCCATTCCGATGGAGAATGATTCAACTATTACCATTTCATGAGAAGAATTGGCATATTTTACCGCGAGGGGACATCACTGATAAAAATCAAAATAATTTCCCGTGCATAGTTGCCAAGTAGGGCTCTTGTTCCTGTGTAATCTCAGCCCTATAAAAAATCGCCTACTTTTGATTGAATCGGTAAAAGATTCAATAAAAACGGTAAAAAATATATCAAGTGACTCTTCATTTATCACAGAGGTAAAAATTTATGTGATTCATCAATTCATCACGATAATGATTAAGTCATCTGAGATTTGCAATAGGTCAATCAAAGTACTTAGTTTTTCCTGTTTCTTCCTTTTTTTTTTTTTTTTTTTT